ACGGCAGTCTGGGGTCACTGTAACATTTCGTTCCCCACAAGAAAGCACCTGGCCCCCCTCTGCCATTTCTCCCTGGGGGCCCCTGAAATGCATTGTTTGTTCTGTCAGATGCTTTATTGTGGAAGCACCTTGTCATCAGCTTGGGTCCTCCTCAAGGGTGAACAAAAGGAGCATTCGATCAGATTTCGGTCTGTCCCACTTGGGGCTTTTCTGTAGGAGGGGAGAAGGAAGGCCGCCTGTTTGCTGTACACATGCTTACAGTGACTTTTCACAAGTTTCTTCTCTTTTTTACACTGATTTTATTCTGTTATCTGATCAGTCATACGCAGGAGTAGTTTGATGGCACATTTCATAATGTTACAAAGCTGTAACAGGCTTTTGCCAGAAGAGAGCTGGAATTTAGCTAGACTGGGTCAACCTGCCTCATTCCCGAATAGCCACACTGGCATCCTGTGTGTGTGAGTTTGTGGCATGCCCCTTTGCCTCCATTTCAACATGCCACATAGATTATGATCATTTTGCTATGGCAATATTTACTGTTTCTTTTTGCTGAATTTCATTCATTATCAAGGAACGTGTGTTTTTCCACATTTTTTTTGGTTGGTTGTTGTTCAACAGACAACCCAAATTATTTACATACCTGTGAATTTCTTCATTTCAGGAAGGAAAAGAATTTGGTATCATTTTGCAATAGATACCTTTATAATCCATTATAATGAACAGTACAATAATTAATAGAGCATTACACCATCTTCTATTAACAGTCATAAGGCATTGTAGTGTTGATGATAGTACTTCATAAGCATAACGCACTATAGGTATCTTCATAATGAATTATAATGGTCAGCATAAGAATTAGGGACATTTGTACTGCATTATGAATGTATCTATTGTGTATTATAGATGATTATATGTGTATCATAAAGCATTCATAATGAATAATATATACGATAATGTGTTATACCTTTCTATAAATATTTATAGACATGGTTATAATACTTTATAAATACATTACAATGTGTTATGAATGTGTTCATAGATTCTTATAGACATGGCATTAATTTTTTTCTCTTCAAAATGAACCAAATGTATATAAGGTAAATACTTAATTGACTTATGCATACCTGTGTGCATTTTTAAAAACTAGCTTAATATGTCACTGCTGCAGTGATAAGAGGTCTCTGTGTGTCTCTGTGTCACTGGCATTTTAATCAGCAGAGGCCTGACAGAGATTTCTGCTTTCTAAATGAGTAACAGCAAGTGATATATGACATTCACCAGTCTTGTAACAGTTCCTGTGAATGGGCCTGCCTTTCATGGTGTATCCCACAGCTGCCAGCGCCATGGGCCTCGTGACTAAATGATCACATGACCGCTCACTGTCCACTGCAGTTTGCCTGTCTATTCAGTGCCTTTATTCGCCCTGACCTCGTAAATAATTCAGCCCGTACTCAGCTCTGCTTCCAAGAAAGTGGTTCATGTATGTGTCTGTGACATTTCATTTAAATAATAACAGTCATTAAAACTGAAATATTATACACGGCATGCTAGACATCGCACTTTACTGTGCCTTATGTTATTTGCATAACGATGAATAATTTGCATGGTACCCTTATAATGACGTGTAGGGCTCTCATTATGGTTATTAATAAGCTGACCTCATGCACACTTTAAGATGGCGTCTTCCTCACAGACGGTGGCTTCCTGAAATTCCCCAAGATAGTGTTGAAATGAAAATGAAAATGTAGTTGTGCTGCCGGGAGCAGGATGAATACTTTTGGTTGGAGGCTGGTCTCTCAGCAACGGCCAGTTTGGCAAGGAGAGCCAGCCAAAGACAATAGACTCAGATCCAAACCACGGGACAGGGGTCGAGGGGGCAAGTCAATGGAGCCCGTTGGCCAATCCTCCCGCCGTGGGTCTCCCGTCTCCAGTGGTCTCCGGTCTACCTCTCTGGACCAATCACGTGCCTCTATATTTAACGACATCAGCAAAGAGGGCGACTATTGACATAACAGTCATATTTCAAGTCATGCTGCCACCGACTATCATATTACATGATTGATTTCTCATAGGAGGCTATATTTTCCATCAGATATGCATTTTTGCTGCATGTGACACAGTCGGACGTAGTCAAATGAGCAAAATTCTAAAGTGCGTGATGAAATATTCTATGGAGCGCGTAGACGCGGGACGCAGACCACGATGTGACATGGTCGGAGACACGGTGCAGGAACAGCGACACGTGATTGACACGGATTGACAGGCCCCCGTCCTGTTCGGAATGGCGACTTTCTTGGTGATCAGACGCAGATCGCTGCGTGACGTAGGTATAGACGCAATAACACATGATCCACGGTGAGTCGACAGAGCCCCCTCATCCACAGCACATTTGGGATGGCCACCCTATCAGCGCTCAGACGCAAATGGCGGCCCAGCATATCGCTCAGCATTCCAGGGGCCGGCCTCTGCATTTCCTTTTCCCTGTAAAACATTATTGTGTTACACAGGGGCCCCGTCTGTGGCCCCACCATGGGGCCCCAGTGCTAGGCGTGGGGTTGGTCACTGTGATGGCGCCCCTTGCTGACCCCGCACACCGGGTCCCGCAGCGGCCGCCCAGTCGCTTGACAAATTACTGCGTGGCCACCTTCGGGCCCCTTTGCGAAAAGCCGTGAGGATTAGAAACTTCACTTTCCTTGCGGCGGATAGAAAAACATTTGGCTGGTAAAACGTCTAAATAAATATATTATAGGTGTTGTTTTCATGAGGGTCTGGACCAGAGTTCACATTTCCAATCCCGCGAGTCAGCGGCAGTAACAGACTTGTGTCAAAAAGGCAACTTGACACCCAGAAAGTGTGACACTGTGTAAATGTTGTAGCAGTCCTACCAAAACACTCCCCCATATTGCCACCCCCCCCTCCCTCACTCCCATGCCGCTGGCCACCGGTTACTGTTTCTCTGATTCGCATCATGGCCACATTCGCATTAACGTATTACTGCATCGTGCAGGCAAAAAGAGCATCCAGTAATGCAGAACCGGTCACCATAGCGATCTGAGCTCTTTGGTTGGGTGCCACTGTGCCTTTAAAGGGGGTCTGAAAAAAAGACGGATTGAATGGGTGTTGCTGCTTGTGTGGTGACAATGACACGACTCATGGGTGTGCCTGTGTGTCTGTGACATGCTTCCCAGCTGGAGAACCTCATCCCTGGTGGAATTAGGCACCTCCGACAGTCTGAGGCCACAAGGAGATCATTTTTAATAAAGAACAGCTTTGCATTTTAATCTCGGCTGGCCTCTCAAATTTCTTGCCAGATATAGTTTTGGAGGGTGGCATTTTCCTGCCAGGCATGCTGCACCGGTAGAGCGAAGCGAAATCCGTGATCAGCAGCAGCAAAAACAAAGTGACCAAGTGATTCTCATTAGAGTTTAGTGCCTTTCTCAGCACCAGCATAACGAGAATGTATAAATGTGTAGAGGCCACATGATCAAAGGACCGTGTCAGATTTAATAAATATATATATATATATATATAGATATCTGTGTATATTTTTTTTCTTAACCCTTCTGATTCGCTCGTCTTTAGCTTGTGCATTAGAGCACCTTTCTGTGCTGAAGACGGACTCTGGTCTTTATGCGATGCTGAGACAGGGGTTTTTATTGTGCATATACTCCTCAAATTGTGCAACCCCCCCCCCCCACCGCCAGCTGCTCCAAGAGTGGCTCAGAACATAAGCCAGTGCTTACTGCAGACGAGCAGCCATGGAACAAATACGATGTAGTTAGTATGGGAGACGTAAACAATTCAAGGTAATTATACTGTGCAATTTCAAAATAACTCACTTGCAAAATTACATTGGAAGTTAATTCCACGCAGCTGCTGAATGAGCGAGAGCAAATGTAATAACTCAATATGCATTTATAGCTCTCAGCTATTGCACAGAGTTACCTGAGATTCCCAGAGCCGGCATTAGCCTATTGAGTTATCGCACTGTGCTTCGCCATGTAATATGCTTCTTTTTCCCAGTTGGAAATGTGAAACTGCCAGTTTACCTGTAGGAAAGGGGGGCATCACACTCGCACCCTCGCCCACATGGACCAGATCTGTTCGGGTCGGCGACCCCCGTCAAGCCTTGTAGGACCCTAATGGGCAGAACCGGAGATGGACCACGAATCCCCAGAATCTTTGGCAGCACGATTGCGGCTCCTGAGAATCCGGGCCGCAGTGCGCCTGCTTCTTCTGGATGTTCCTGTCATTAAAAGGTGCTAAAAGGATGCCACCTCATGTCCGCTCCAGCCCCTGGATTTTTTAGGAATGCTTCAGCATGTCTGTACGGTCACATTTCCCGGGTTACGCCTAAAAAAAACTGCTCCTCAGTGTAACACTTTTATTTTAGCTCCACAGATGAGGGGAAGCAAATATTTATTGTTGCTGTGAGACTCTCCGGAGCCCCCCAGCCCCCCAGCCCCCTGAGCGAGCCCTGAGGGGGCTGCACGCTTTGTCTTCCCGTGCTTTGCCTGAAAGCTGCAGCCTTTGGGAAGCGGAAATGTCCCCTCCAGCTCGTGTAATTCCTTCTTTACCTCGCAAATGGCTTTGGCAGCTACTTGTTGACGGAGAGCTTCCACCAGCCTGGTCTGGGACACCCCGGTCTGCTCCAGCAGGGGGAGGGGGGGGGGGCACCTCGCCATAGTCACCTAATGAATATATCCTGTGGGGGACTTCACATCGGTCTACCCCCTTTGTCAAATTTTGACCTGACTCAAGAGAAAATCTGCGGTCTGAACTGGAAAAATAAAAACAAGGGGAGGAGTGAAAAAAAGCCAAGTGCCCTGGGGGGGCGGGGGGGGGGGGGTAGATTGGGCAGACGAGCGGGATGGCTGAAGGATTTGCCGTTTCATTGTCTTAGGATCACTGATAGGATCTGGGAGAGAAGCTGCCCCCCCCCCCTCGTGCCCCCACCACACCAAAGCCTCCTGTGAAAGAGCACTGAGCTTGAAACTTTCTGCTGTTTCAAATAGCAGCTCCCCCCTCCCTCTACCCCCCCTCGCTCCCTCCCTCTCTGCCCGTCTTTCTTTTTTTCTATCCTTCTTCCTTAGACACTCGCTAGTCACTGCCCACAGCGGTAATCGGACAAGCCTCATTCCCGTCCACCGTCCGTCACCCTGCAGAGATACGGCCCGGCGCTCTGGGCTTTAAATGCCTAAAATGAGAGCGAACAAGGCTGCCTTGCATCTGTAATTCACGCGTGAGCCTCTCCTTCGGCTGTTGGTAAAGTGCTTTTGGACCTGGAGAGATACAGCCGGCATCGGAGAGGCACGGAGCGACAGGAAGGTACCACACTTTTTCAGCAACAGTGAGTATTCTTCTCCTTCCAGCTCATTTGCCTCTCATTTCTGCTAGTTTTGTGAATTTGCTGTGGGAGCCTTCTCAGTACACCAGGCAACACAACACGCGTCGAAGAAGGTGCTGCTCTTCAGTACACCGCTACTATCAATATTATTATTATCATCATCCCCAACATCATCGTATCCGTGTCAAAAGTTTCATTCTCAATTGTCAGTCAGCGCAAAGTTAAAGAAAACTTTATTCTGTGGTTTAAGTTAAATATTTTGAAATGTAGAGTTTTATTTTTTTCATTTTGGAATTTACTGCCAAGGAGATGTTAAAATTAATGCTTTAAAAATGTCACTGTTCTTAGATTTAACTCCAGTTTTTATAATTTTCTAGGAAACAAAATTTACTGAGACTTCATAAATTCATAAATTAAAGAATAAACTTCAGGATATTAATATTAATTGGGCGACAATTTTACAGAAGAAAACATTGTCAGTTTTTTTAAACATTTGTCAGTTTATTGTCAGTACATCTAATTACTAAAAATATAGTTCCAAATTAATATTCATTTACAAACTCAGAAAACAGGTAAACAGTAAACCCAACATGAAAAGTAATTTTATATAATGAATGCTGTTCATTTATTTGCTTTTTTCAAAAAATGATTCCTTTAGATATATGCAAAAACATTTACAGTAATTTACACATTTACAACAATTTACGCATCTATTTACAATAATTTACATGCTGCATAACCATGTAATTTCAAACAAATCTTGGGAATTTCTCTGGAGTGTGAGAGTAATAGCGGGAATGTGAATGCAGGACTGATATGAAGGTCTGCTTTTGGTTTTTTCGCTGTCTGTCCTTCTCTTATAAATGACAGATTGCTGCTTTTCCGGCAAATTCGCTGATTACAGCCTCTGGTTTCTTCAATTTGCAAGTACCTCAGGCTGGGTCATCCAAAGTAACACCCTTTAAATAAATTGTCTGGAGGCTCTTCGGAAAGCTTTCTAAATTGTAGCCTGACAAAAAAAGTACCAAGAAAAATAAAACCAAAGCAGGTGTTTGGAGCTGATCAGCTGGAATAATCATTTAGAAATTTTTTTTGTATGGTTTCTGGGGAAGGAAATCCTCGCGCTGAAAAAGTCGGCTTTTTCAACGCAACAAGCAAAACGCGCGTGCCCCCTGCCCCCCACAGCACCCCCGAGTAGCCTCCCGGGCAGGCCCAGTTATCGCCAAGGAGCTGGGTTAGAGGGGTTGACATCCAGTGACATCTGCTGTAGAGAGGAATGCTGGGTGAGGCCTGTCTCAGAGCCACTCCGGCCTCCTCCGAGATATCTTTGGAGTTTTACAAGGCTTACATCACCTCGCTTTTAAATAAAGTCCAATTTATTTAGCTGAATTAAAGGCATGTCCTGCCGATAAGCTGGCTCCACCAGGACGGAACTTGTAATAATAATCAAAAACCACGAATAATTCTGCTATTAAAAATATCCTGAAACCAGGTTTTTGTCGGCGAATTTGCTCTTTGGAGCGTTTGCCAATTCTTACGAACGGTAAGAACGGCCGCTGTACATGTAAAGCCACCGCTCTTCCGTTCTTAAAATTCAGTGATGAAAGTGCAATATCTGAGAGGCTTAGAAATACAGGGATTTGTCGAGGAGAGGTAGCGGAGTGAGCGAGGGAGCGATTGAGGAGGCCGAGGGGAGGACAAACAGCCCCTTGCTTTGTGTACTAAACAGCGGCAGCAGCGGTGGCTGTGCTCCTCTGCCTCTATTCTCCTCACACAATGAGGCCGCTTATCAAATTAATGGATAATGAGCGGCCGCCTTGCGTTGTTTGCCCTCTCTATTTGTTTTAATAAAGCCCTGGTTGGGGACGGGCCAGACCCTCATGCGGACCGAAGGCCCGGCGCTGTTTGCAAAAGGGCCCGCCCCCCGTGTGTGACACACGCGGGGGGCTAATTGATACGGTACAGCCGTTCACTAACAGGAGCGGCCCGGGGACAGTGATCAGCACGCTGTTCTGTTTACCAAACACAGAAGGAGGGCGCTATTCTGTGAAGGGGCCGTGCGCCCCTGCGCCGCGTCGCCCCTGCAGCAGGAAATGAGGGCCGAAGGCTGAGGCCGCTGCCCATCGACCCGACCCCGCTGCCTGTTTACCTGTTTATGGCTAATCGACTGTTTATTTTTCTTTTAAGTGGCTCATTAAGGGCTGGTAGCTTTTAAGCGCGAATAGAAATCGTGCCTGACGTGTACTTTAAACTGCCGTTTGTTACAAAGGGCAACGGCTACATTTTATTTATTGTAATTTGCAATACGACAGGACGCAGTAAAAAAAAAAAAAAAAAAACGGCCCATTGGGCCCCTCTTTGCATTTTATAAATTCTTCAAAAGCGTGAGTAAATTAATTTGAAAATTTGTTTGAACTTAGCAAGAAAACTGATTTAAAAAAACACAGCAATATATGCAAACAATTAATTTTGATATTTGTATTTGAAATGTTTGAATTTCTAAATGTATACCCTATACTCCACATGTCAGATAGATGTTAGTCTGCAGTATATATACAGGGTATATATACAGGGTATATATACAGGGAAAGCTGGGGCTCAGTTGCGAATGCCGCTCTGTATCCCTGTGCCGTTTTCTTTACCAAATTGGTTTTGTTTGTGGCTTGTTTTGTGCCCATCAGCTGCGTACCTCTGCTGCCTGGGGGTGGGGGGGGGGGGGGGGGGGGGGGGGGTGTTCAGTGGTGGTGGTAGTGGTGATAAAACAGCCCCCTTAAATCTCTGGTGATGGACCCTCAGACTGAAGCTGCCTTCTGGAAATAATTTCTGGGGTTGAAGAGCACAGTATTAACAGATTTAATGTAGCTATTCAGTGAATGGCCGGAGCACCTTGTCAGATTTAACTAAATGAGAGGGACAAATTGCACGTCAACAATCCAGACATCTGTGAGGGATTACACTTTTAATTAATGAAAAGTGAGAATTGAAAATGGTCATTATAGCTTGCTTTCTGGGACGCATATAATTTTCAGTTGAATTTCACTGTTATAATGTCAACAGTGGGACTATGACACAGGATAAATCATGACTTTCAAACATATATTTAGTGATCTCCAGCTGAGGTGGAATCTTTCACATATTTTGACTCTTTCTGTCCTGATTAGCCTCTGCACGGTATTGCCTGCAAATGCTTGCCTGGGCTGTGATTGGCGACACAGCCAGTCACGCCGCATCTTGCCTAAGGGCCTCGCCGCCGCTTAACGCTGTCTATTTGGATGTCCATGCGGAGAGCAGCGGCTGGCATGTAGCATTCTGTAAACTTTGACTAATTTCACTCACATCTGTGTCCAATCGCCGTGCGGCGTGGTGCTTTCTCCCCGCAGGGCCTCCTCTCGGCCACCACGCGGCAACCTGAGTGCGGATTAGTCCTAAAATCATTCTGATTAAAGCACTGTTTTTCAGAGCTAGTAACGCACAACACATGGTCTGTGTACAAGGTTAAATTCAAAGGAACACGCGCGATACGGCCTATAAAGTTAACTTCCCATAAAACGAGCTGGGAAGAGCTCTCGGGGAAGAGGGCGGGCTCTTTCATTTTCAACAAAACATATTTTAAATGATAGGTGCAATTGTAATTGCATTTATCAATTAAGAAAATTTTGTAGTGACAATATACCTAGATTACATTTCATGCTTAACCGAAATTAGTTTTAAAATGCAGAATTGTACTAGGTCACATTTTGTAATTCACAGAAGTTTACCAAAAAGTTTAATCTTTTTTTTTTTCTCCAAAAACATTGCAAGTAATAAGGAGCTAATAATGAGTTTGCACTCTGAGACTGGGCTCCGGGCGCAGGTAGAGCAGGCAGGCGGCCTGGCAGGACGGCCCACCACAGGGGCTGTGTTTGCTAACGGGATCGTGCAGCGGCTCGGCTACGGGGAGCGTAACAATGGGGCGGCAGCACGCGGCGAAGAGCCTTCGGCTCGCTGCTTTCTTTTTTATAACAGTGCTCTGAAAGCCTCGTCTCCCCGGCTTTGTTCTGCGGCCATCAAAGGACATGCGGTTCAGCCTGAACTGAAATGCACATCAAAGATGCTCTATGCCCCCCTTTAAACAATAAATAACCACTGATGCAGGAGAAGTGCCTCCTCTCCTCGTTTTGGGCCCCACTTCACCTGGTGCGTATCACCTGCGGGGGCCGGGGGACGTCCATGCTCACAGCGCCCTCCCCACCCAAAAAGTAGCCAACTCGCCATTTTTACACCCTCATCCCTGGACGATGTCCGGCACACCACACTCGCTCTGCCATTTTCCTCGTGATCGTATTCATGATGGGCTCACCACGACGCACGGCGCCATCACACCACACGGCTCAGGTTACCTGGGAGCTAGAAACGATTAAAAATTCATGCCGGGATCTGTAGAGTTTTTCAGAAAAAGCCTCCTGTGCCCCCGTTGCCGGCACACACCGCATAATACCGCAAAAATTGCCTCATTCCTCTTCTCGCAGCAGCGCTGCCTTCCCCACGCCGTGGCCCCCACGCCGGGCTCGTCGGCGCCCGGGGCAAGCTGGGCCTGCGGGAGGAGGCCACGCTGATCATTAGGAGCTGTCAGCGTGAGGGGGGGGGGGTGCAGATGAGCCTCAGATAGTGTCAGGCAGGATGAAGGATCCCGCTGGAGATGCTGGGGGTGTCGCGCTCCACTTAGCGCCGCTCAGCACACTCTCCCGGCCTCTCCCCGCCCCGCTGCCGCCTCTGCTAGGACACCCCTTCCTGCTTACCTTGGCTAAGCCGCTTTGCATGCTGATTGGGGGAGGGTTAATCCAGTTTGCAGCTGTCGTAGACCAATGATGAATCACCTTTCCGTCATTTGGCGCCCCCCCCCCCCTCACCGCCACCATCCCCCAGCCCCCGCCCCCCCCCCCCACCCCCCAACCCCCCCCCCCCCCCCCCCGCCCCTGCATGGGGAGGAGGGAAGACCTGGAGGAGGAAACAACAGCAGAGGCTTTAGCCCACATACAATGTGCCTCTCTGTTCCTGCTCTCCACTAGAGAAGAACAATAATGTTTCCTCAGACAATGTCTATTGTGTGGCGGATGGGTCTGGACAGCAGCGCCGACCAGAGTAACAAGGAGTGACTTTGTTTCTGTTCGGCAGGTGGGAAAAGGCACACAGGCTCATTCAGATGATTCTGATCCATCCGGTTCCAGGTAAGACACTGCTGTCACTCACCTTTCTGAGATGTACAACTGTGGGCTCAGTGGAGCTCAGGCAAGAGTCGGTCGTGAAGTCTTTGCCGGTCAAGCAGAAGCATTTCTGTGGTTCTTTAGATGAGCGGTACCTTTTCCTAAAGGTAACTGCTATAATTTAGTAGTGGGTCTAAGTTTGGGACGTGCAGTGCATCAGCAAGAAAAGGGCTTTTCTTACTAAAAAATCACCCCCAGAACAGAGAGGAGAAAAAACAGCTGTTTATCCAAATTGATTATCCGTATGTTAGAGTCCAGCCTGAGATGCTGAAGGACATGCTGTGGGCCACAGAACTTCATTAAAGTATTTAAAATGTTTTATTTTTTAAAAGTGTTACTTTCTTGCACCTGCAGTCTCCCGAAATTATAAGCAATACATACAGCAATGTGATGCAAATATTTTGATATTTAGTATTTGAATCAGTTCAGTCTCTTTCCAGTGTGAAAACTGCTGTGAGACATATCCTTAAAGACGAAAAAGCCCAAAATCATTTCAATTTTAAAACGTATTGTTAAACACCTGCTTGCTGCTGCATTGCTCTTGATTTCCTCTTCATTTTGTTATGAAAATACAGGATGTTGAAGCTGTACAAGGCGCTGAGGTGTGTTCCTATATTGGAGACCTCCCTCTAGATGTCCGTGCATCAGAAAAGCACAGTGGCCGTATAGATGTGTGATAAACTAATGTTTGTGCTTCAGGATAAACGGGGGGGGGGGGTCTGGGGGCTGGTCTGCTGGGTCAGGGCTTGGGAGCAGGAGACAGGCGGCTTGTGAGGGGGTGGGTTAAACTGCAGCTCAGGTACCCCCCAGTGATCACCGAGTCTCACAGAGAGCATCTCCCGCTCAATTCTGATACATCCTGTTTTATACACACACACCCACAGTACGTGTATATGTGTGTGTATTTCATATACATACTCATACATTATTCTCATGTAATCCTAAAATAAATATTATATATAATTGACATTTTATTGTGTTCATTTTTTAATGTCGCTACATTTGGATAGTTTTATTTACTTTTTTTAAGAAAAATAAGCGAAGCATACTTGACAGAAATATCTGCATTTTTATTTTTGTCTGTGTGGCTGTCGTCTTTTTTTAAAAAAGCACATTTTTTTGTTTGGTGAAAAGATTAAATAGTAAAGTTCATTTTAATGTGACATTCTAAATATAAGCCTACAAGGGTACTTTTGTCAGCCACGCTCTGTCCCTGTCCTCCCTGTACCTCCAATGTCCCCCATACTCCTTTCACTGTCTGCCTTGTCCACACTGTCCCTGCCCTGTCCCCCTACTCTGCCCTCGCTGTTGCTGCCCTGTGCCCATTGCCCCACGCTGTTGCTGCCCTGTCCCCGTTGCCCCATGCTGTTCCTGCCCTGTTCCTGCATACCCATCCCTCTGCTGTCCTTTCACGTTCTGGGGGGCTGTCAGAATAGAGGTGTGACCCCCTGCATCTCGCTGCAGGTCTATGGAAATGCAGGATCTAACCAGCCCACACAACAGAGTCAGTGGAAGCAGTGAGTCCCCCAATGGTCCAGGTCTCGACAACTCGCACATCAATAACAACCCCATCACCCCAAATGGCACAGAAGGTGCGTCTCCTGCACTCTCTCTCTCTCTCTCGCACACCCTCCCCCGCCTTCCGGATCTTTCTAGCATTACGGGACACAGTTTGACCTTCGTTTGTGCTCCCTGCCGGGTGTGTACTTACATGGTAGCCAGCAGGTTAAGCTCCTTGAACACGCACTCTCTGAGCCTTCCACAGGACGTTACAGGAAGGCTCCAGAACCTGCGCAGCACAGTACTTTAATGCAGTAAAGCAGCCCAGCCACCCACCCACTATTCCAGGTGACCTTGCCAGGATCACTGTGACAGCCCCGCAGCGCCATGGGGCCCGGATGGACGCGTGTTTCGTGCTGAAAGCGGTGATATTTGTGGAGATTGTCATGTATCCCCTGCGATTCCTCTTTCCCACAGGTGATAACATCACCATGCTCGCCACAGCCGACTGGCTGCTAGCTCCTAGTGCGCAGGACGCTTCAGGTTTGTCCTGATCTCACGATACAATGAAAGGGCAATACTGGCATCTTCCCAGCTCCTAACTCTGCTGTCATTAGCCTGATCACCAGTGTGAGAGCTTCTGCTAAATCTGCTAAAAGGCTCACTTTCACAGTAAAACCCACCGAAATATTTATTCACATAAATCATTGCTAATTCATTATTTTCAAAAATATGAGTTGTGATGTACTCAGTTGATTTGGCCCCTCGAACTCCTGTATTCTGGAAACCTGGTCCGTGACAGTCCTCAGTCATTGTACCTTTCATTCCAAGGCTCGTCCTCCAATCCAGTTTGCTGTGTGCTGTCTGACTCTTTCCCGCATGGTTTGCGGTGGCTTCATGTTGTGTGAATGATCTGGGGGGGATCAGGGTACATGATGCAGGTTCAGTGCCGGGGGGCCCAGAGGAATGCCTGCTTTGTGTGTGCATGGTCCCCGGCCCGCCGTGGCCCCCTGTGAGGTGTGCTCCACGTTGTTTGCACTGACACGTGTTTTTCCACACGGTGAACATTCTGGGAACATGTCTGACATAAGGGAGAGTGGCATCTCCCGTCGGGCACAGCCCTATACCCACATCGCCAGCCCGTTCCCAGAACACCCCCTTCCCCCTCGAGGAGGAACGGATTCATTTCAAAGAGCCGCAGTCATCAGGCAGATGTTAACTTGTCTCTGTGGTCACACCGGTTGAGCTGAGGCAGCAGGGATCACACACCCACGCCCGCACATATGCCGTGATGCGAGCCCTTCCTGGCTCCGTCTATACCTCCAAGCCTGCTGACAGTGGCTGTATCATCACGTGCAGCGATGCCCTGCTGGTGTCAGAGGTGCTAGGCCAATTATAAACAGCACAGTATGCAGAGATACACAGGAGAACAGCCTGAGAAGGAACATGATGCCTTACAGTCCCTGAGCGAACGGCTCACACGGGATTCCCGCCCCTGCCACTGGAAACCGGGAATCTGCGGGCCTTATAACATCCTGACGGGGCCTGAGCGGACGGCTCACACGGGATCCCCGCCGTGCCACTGAGAACTGGGAATCTGTGGGCCTTTTAACATCCTGACGGGGCCTGAGCGGACGGCTCACACGGGATCCCTGCTGCGCCACTGGGAACCGGGAATCTGCGGGCCTTTTAACATCCTGACGGGGCCTGAGCAGACGGCTCACACGGGACCCCTGCTGCGCCACTGGGAACCGGGAATCTGCGGGCCTTTTAACATTTTACCAGCACAGGCAAACAGTAACATGTTTCAGCCCTTTGTTGTCTGATGGTTCTGTAAACCTCTTTTCTCATTATTTTGCAGAACGTAGCTTTGTCTCTCTGACTCAATGATCGCATTTAATAGCCATTTCACAAAAAAAAAAAAACCTTTTTGATATGTCCTGAGTGACAATCAACTCTTGAGTGCTGTTGGGCCGGTTCTGGAGTGGGAAATCAGGCTGTAGGTCACACTCCCATTCCGCCATGCTAGTGGTCATGTGACCCTCTTGTTATTTGCAGTTAAAACAGAACCAATGAGCAGCTCTGAGATCACCACCTCCACAGCTGAAGGCTCTCTGGACAGCTTCTCGGGATCAGGTGAGGGCAGGGGGCCCGGGGGAGGGGGGGGGGGCCACAGGGGGCTCCTCACAGCTGCAGAACTGATTAGCGGGAGATGGGTCGCAGAGATCCTCCTGATAAGCCAGGGGGCCCAGGGATCGTCCCTGCAGGAGCGAGGAGCAGCCCGAACTCGTGGGAATCACAGAGCCCAACTCTGTGGCCATCGGCCAAGCGGGACGGCCCCACCCCCCAAGTTTCTTATTTTGACATGGGGGCCGGGGGCTAAGGGAGCAGCCCAGCCAGGGAATAAACACCACAAATGCCAAGGCCCTTCAGAGATGTAGCAAAGGAACCGTAGGTCACAGGTCATATGAGATCACACGTTTCTTCAAAGTGTCCGTCTGAAACGGCACACTGATACTGCGCTCGCCTGCATCGGGGTGCCGACATGTCCCAGCGCATTAGATATATGTCTGAAATACAGAGAAACGCACTCGTGGAGCCAAAAGGAGCAACGTCTCATTGCTGCTAATTGGCTTCATGCTCACACATATTTTACTAAGGACCTGATCTCTAAATGGTAGACGTACATGAATGAAATATTAACAATGAGGACATTTAAGCAGGGTTTACACTACAGGCAGAGTGAGGGGCTAAGTACGTTTCAAGGCGTTTTCCTAATAGAGACCTAACACTTTATTTTGTATATCATGAGCAATTTCACACACACTCTCAGAGGGGGTGAGATGGCCAGAGTTAGCGGACAGCCGCCCCCACGGCATGTGTCCAGCTGCCCTAACGCAAGACGCCGCTTTGCATCCAAAAAAAGATGATCTTTGTGTTTTCGTTGTTCATGATCGTCTGTTTAATACATTGTGCTTGCAATCTGTTAATTTATTCTTAAGTGCATGTCTTCAGAAATTGCATATTTTTTTATTGAGAAGCTTTACGTCTGAGTATTGGTATTTGGATAGGAATTTTATGACGTGCGAGGAGATTTTTAAGGGAGCTTTTCACATCCGAGTTTTGGAAACGAGAGCAGAGACCGTACGTCCCGCTTCCAGGTGTCAGCGACGAAATGGAAATGCAGAAATTCATTATGTAATTAGCTAAAAGCCACATACGTGTCCATTGTTTATTCATTAGGAAAGTCAATTTCTCGGCAGCTACGTTACAGTGCAGCTTCATCGCGTTTTCTGAAAAAAGAGGATGGCACTAAACTCACGCGCGTCATTGTCGCCGTCGTCACTGCCAGCGCTCGTAGAAGTTGTTGGTTAGTTGTATCCGCGGTCGATGTCACCCACATATTCACCTCGAACACCTCGCTTATGCGCTGCGAGAGCTCGGTAAGGCGGGAGTCTTTGCGTGGAGGCGGCTCTCCGCCGCGTTACCGAATCGTTTCTGGCACTTTGCGTGACCGCGCAGAGCCAAGCGGCCGCTCGCGGGTATCTCGTGGCGTGCCGGCCGGTTTACGCCGGGCCGTTTCCATGACGACCAAGAAGCGGCGCGAGAGATACGAAGTCAGCAAAGGATGAAAAAAGAAACAACAGGAACGAAACGAAGCCGATCATTTAACTTCATCACTGTCCGTCACTATGAACCTGAAGCGAGGGTGCGGACTTAAACAGCCGTGCGATGTAATTACTGCTTCCCTGGAACCCAGGAGTTCTGTTGGCAAAAAATAATATTTACCTTATTTTTAATGTTTAAATATGTGCTTGGCCTTTTTATTTTTCACTCTGCTCAGCTATTGGAACTGCTGGCTTCAGCCCAAGACAAGCGCACCAGTTCTCCACACAGCTCTATCCTTCCAAGTAAGGCTTCCTTCATTTCCCTTTAAAAAAATAAGCATCATCCAGCTTCATTTGGGGCCTTAATTAGATCCTTCTGCCAGATCTGGATTGTCCAGCAGCTCGCTTTGCTTGGAAGTCTGCAGCTTGCATACCCCAAAATCTGTTGTAATTATTATCTTGAAGAAATTCCCTTTGTGATTTATTTTTACTCTTGCAGGACTTATCAGCGGTTTGATATCTATCTGATTTTTTCCCCATTTTCTTGTCTTCTTCAGTTTTGCTGTGCATTTACCATCAAGTAGCAGACTTGCTATGAATTTGCCAGATAGCAGCCTTAACTGTGGGTTTCATCTCCTCTCTCCCTCTTTCTGTCTCTCTGTCTTTTTCTCTCTCCATTTTCCCGCCAAAAACAGCCGGCCTTACCCGCACATTCTACCCACCCCCTCCTCCCAGAACATGGCGGCGTATGGGCAGCCTCAATACACAACGGGGATGCAGCAAACCACTGCCTACGCCACCTACCCTCAACCTGGCCAGCCCTACGGGATCCCAGCCTACGGTAATTACGGCCAACGGCCTGGGGGTGGCACTGTCTGGAGTGGGGTGCCCACATGTGGCCATACGTAATTCATTGTCCTGGAGTGGGATTTTGCCATTCCATCAAAATGGCACAGAAACTCCCATGTTTACCAAGGAATCTGGTTGCCTCTACATGCTTGTCCCATAGGCCTCATTATTGTGTGTTCAATGTGCTGACTGACTGCATTTTTACTATTTTAAGCTCCATACCTTGAAATAATATTAACAGTCACATAGGCACTATGTTTTTCTCCCCCCTACTTCTGTTTAAACGCAGAGATGATGAATGTTGCTGCGAGTGAGCAGAGCTGTAGCAGACTCTCAGTGTGTTCACCCTGATTCGGATCTGGTGTCACTAACTGATCTAGGTGCGTTGTGGGCAGGCATCAAGACTGAGGGCGGCCTGGCGCAGGCCCAGTCTCCAGGCCAGACCAGCTTCCTGAGCTACGGATCGGGCTTCAGCACGCCACAGACAGGACAGGCCCCCTACAGCTACCAGATGCAAGGTCAGCATCATGCCACCACTGCATGGTAAACAGCGGAGACAAATGTGATGCGCTGAACGGCTGTTGTGGAGTGGCAGAAAGCGCACACGGGCAGGTGACACGTTCAATGGCCAGTGTGTCACAGCAGAGAGCGCACACGGGCAGGTGACACGTTCAATGGCCAGTGTGTCACAGCAGAGAGCGCACACGGGAAGGTGACACGGTGAGTGGCCAGTCTGTCGCAGCAGAGAGCGCACACAGGCAGGTGACACGGTGAGTGGCCGGCTTGTCACGGCAGAGCATATGCAGGCAGGTGACGTGCTGATCAGCCAACGTGTGGCAGCAGAGAGTGTATGTGGGCAGATGACGCACAATGCGGCTGACGTGTCGCAGGACAGAGAATATATCGGCCAGTGTGTCGCAGCAGAGAACGTAAGAGGGCGGGTGACACGCTGAGCGGTGGCATGTCACCGCAGAGAGTGCATACGGGCAGGTGATGCATTAAGTGACTAGCGTGTAGCAACAGAGAGCATACACTGGCAGGTGACACACTGCCTGGTTGACGGGCCCGCGCCCAGTGTCTCTCAGGGTTAAGGTTGGCCTCAGGATGTCCACAAAAAATGCCACATCCGCTGGAGGGCGGATGCAGGCTTTTCTGTCTTTATCCAAAGCGATTTGTGAGAAATAACGTGACGGGAGACACAGAGCTCCGGCCCTGAATCATAGCCGCCGCTGATCGCTGGCCTTTGCCCCGTCCGTCACTCTGTCCCGGCGGTCTCGGTGGTGGCGCTCTCGCGACGTATCGATCGAGACCTCCCGGAGAGCAGGCTGCCAGGAAACAGAGAGCCGGACAGAGCCTTTCACCACCCGATACTCCCCGGGTCCGACGCAATCTCATTACTGCCAGGCTGTCCCCAGCTGTCCGAGGAAATGCAGTCAGATTAATGTCTTCACTGCGCCCTGCCAGGGAGCAGCGGGGAGAGGCGGCAGCGGCCGGCTTTTAGCGGAGAATTGCCCCCGTCTCTTTTTCACATTCAGGGTAGAAAATGAGCAAAAGAAACACCTCTGAAAGAGGAACTCTTAGCACGGAATATCGTCAGTTTAGTCAGAGAAACAATAGAAGCTTGAATTCAATAAAACTGACAGTATAAGACATGCAGATTTTTAACAGCAAAAAAAAACTTCAGTCAGGAATTAACTTTCTGTTTTTGTAGCTGTTGGTTAAACTTTTAAATCCTTATTTCTGGGGTCTCTGTTTGGATTTTCCGTAACGGGGCAGGAATAATTCGGCTCCCTGCCGCCCCCCGTGCTGACAGTAAGAGGGGCGGCTGGAGCCCCGAGCCGAACGGACGCCCATCTGGACTTGATCGAGCGTTCCCGGGAGAGGCAGCGCGGCTCCTGCTAGGAATATTGGCTGCTGATGATAGACATGGCCCATGGCGACGAGGCCGATCAGGCAGCGCAAATGGAGGCCGTGGGGGGGCAGGAGGCGGCTGCTGTCTGCTCACACCGGGGCAGGGCAGGGCAGGGGGGGCCCCGGGTCCCCCGGGAGCCGCTAAGCGCCCCCCAGCATGGCTCCATTCTCCAGGCCTGGCCAGAGGTCCCATCCCTTTCATGTGGGTCTGCCGTCTCCATGGAGATGACCTTTGGCCCCCCAGTCACTGCTTTTATCACTTTTTGAAGTGTGCATTAAGCTAATTTGTTGTACGATGGGGGTTTATGCTTTTTACGTGGCGTGAAGCGGCAGCCAGACGCGCAGTGGGGGCGGAGCAGGACGGGCCGGGGGCAGCTTAAACAAATAGGAGAAGCCCAGCACAAACGTGGCGACCAATGAGAGCCTGCAGCCAGACAGCGCTGCTGGTGGGGCTGCACACTGACGGCCCGTAAAGCTGCTTCACATTTGCCACGCTCCCCCTGCCCCCGCCACCGTGGATGGGATGACCAGAGGATGAAAGGCCCCCCCGCTTCCCGGACAACGTCGTAATTACAGCTCCCTCTACGCGCCGTAAAGCGAAACTGCCGCCTGCTTTTCCGCGGCAGGCCGCTCCAGTCTTTGAGGATACTCACTGGCCGCCTTCTGATTTCTGTAACTCCAGACGGACTCTGGCGCTGCAATTTCAGAGCTTTGACAACTGTGTGACTCTGGGATGTTTTGCTGACGGAGGCAGAACAGGTCCTGCCCGAAGGCCTCAATGAGGCACGATCGATGAGGGTCATCGCGAAAATCGGACGACCCCAAGCACTCTGCAGAACTGGCGTATTTATAAACAAACCATGCATCACACCCTGCAGCCTGTTTTGCTGGGGATCTCTGATTGGATGGTGCCAAAGACCTGGAGTAAAGCTGTTAAGCACCTTCCTGTGCTTCATCGCCGGTCATCCGGATGCCGGCATTTTTTGCGACAATACTTTGAGGCCCTCTGGGAGAGGTGGGGGTCTTTCCAAGGGACTGTCCCCCCCGGCCACTTGGCCTCCCCCTAGGGCCCCCATCTCACAGACCTTGTAATTAGTGTCATGTTCATTCTTAAAGTATTACATTTTATCACCGGCTGATTGATTTAATTACCCAAATGTGCTCCTGTTGAACCTCCTAGGTCTCATTCCTATGCATATAAACTGCTCCCCCCTCCCTCCACACTGATCCAGTCACCAATAAAGGGGGGTGAGGATCTGCCTTAGAGCTGTGTCATGTGTGATTTAAACATTTGTTTTACAATAATAAATCACCTTCAGAGGCTTGGGCCTGGTTTACCACTGACCACCTCTCAGTGTGTCTTATTCCTGTCTCAGAGGCTGACTTCCTGTCGTTACAGGAAGTGGTTTCACGACGACGGCGGGCCTCTATACGGGCAGTAACTCCCTGACAAACTCCAGCGGCTTTAACAGCCAGCAGCAGGTATGTGGCCCTACCTCCTCCTCCAGGGACCCCCTGTACCGACACACCCTCCGAGGGCCCGGGCCGCGGGGCCCCATCCGAGCCACAAGCCAGCACCCTGGGCCCAAATCTGGAAGCATTTACATGCACATGTGCTCATTTGCATATCGTAGAATCTTACGAACCACGAAAAATGTTTGGACTAACGCTGACACTGATTATGTGGTTCTCCCGGTGCATCTGCAATAGTGCTGGGGGGGGGGGGGGCAGAGCTGGGGGGGCAGTCCAGCTGCAGGACACTACAGACACATGTTTGCGTTTATGTTTTGGAATCCATGCCGCAAAGTAGCACCGTTTTAAGGGGATAATCTCACATTACCTTTCTCCCGTTCTCCACCCACCCCCCACCCCCCCCGGGACCCTCCTATTTTAGGACTACCCGCCATACCCGGCCTTCAGCCAGGGCCAGTACCCTCAGTATTACAGCAGCTCCCCGTACCCCTCCCCCTACATGACGGGCAACAACACCAGCCCCTCCACCCCGTCCACTACAGCCACCTACACGCTGCAGGAGCCCCCATCCGCCGTCACGAGCCAGGCCATTACGGACCCCCCGGCCGGTAAGGTGCCCTGCCAAGGCCGCCGCCTTCACGCCTGTGTCAGTGTCGGGGGTCACCGCCAGCTCGCCGCTGCTGGTTTCCTGCGGGGAACCTTATCCGGCAGGTAAAATGGGGAGCAGAGATGCCAAGGGAGGTTCCATGAGGAGGAGATCAGCTGGTCTCTATGCATGACAGCATTCTGATTGCACAGGGATGAGATCTCACACCCTCCCGAGGAGTATTTTCCAAAACTGCTCCACATAGCAGGTGGCGAGATGTATAATAGAGCTATCAGCACATGGAAGCACAGCCCGTCAAGCTGGATTTTCTTCTGCAAAGGCCAGTCACGTTAACAGACATTTGTACACAGTGTGGGTACTCCTCTTAGCTGTGTCCATGTTTGACATTCATTTATAATTGTATTATTTTTGCTATTTATAAACCGATCCATTTTCCATAACCGTTCAGTTTAGTACTGGGTCGTGGCGCATGATTTATAAATGTCAACAGCATATGCAAAGCAGGAACTGATGGATAATATTTGCTTTAGCCCTGCAGAAATCTGCCACCTGGGTGAGTGACGTTTTCCTTTTAAACTTGCTCTGGAAATGTGTTAGAATTTTCCAGCAAAGTGGGTCCAATAACCCTCCCCCAGCAAGATGTCAGGTAGCTTTCAGCGCTAAACACCTTGCAGCGTTACTGGACACGCGGCTCTTAACTCTGACGCCAGTCAAGCTAATTACATAGAAGCATCAAGCGGGGCACCTCTACAGAGTCAGTCAATAAGACATGCAGCTGGAGCCAGCCGCCCCCCGCCCATCCCGCTGATGGATGGAGCTCTTTCTTACTCTCCCGTGATGGATTGAATCAAGTGGAGAATGTAAAACACGGGGAAGTGCATTTTCACGGAAAAGCATTCGATGGAAATGCTCACGGTTCTGGTCACGCCGCTTTTCTGGGCAGGCACACTGGTACGTGTCTCCTGCTATAGGCATTAACGTCTGTGCAGGCTTGTTCATCATGCCGGAAATAGCCTTTACTGGGTTGATGGCTTAATGAGCCTGATGTCACGCAGACCATGGTGACGACACCCCAGTGCGCCTCTACGGATCTTATCTGCCTAATGTACTACAGGACACTCATAATATCAGTGCTGAATAATTATTCCATAACTTCAGTCAGATAATAATCAGTAACCACTTTAACTAAAAACCAGTTTAAGTGTAAATACTAGAAGAATCTTTAGACTTTAAATTTTTTAATATTCGCAATGGCAATAATTATGATGCATTTTATATTTTCTTTACTTTAAAGACATGACTAGATTAGGCTGTAAAAATGGCATGTAGTGTAAGTAAACCAAAAATGAGTAGTGTGTGTGTGTGTGTGTGTGTGTATATATATGTGTGTGTGTGTGTGTGTCTGCGAGCGGGTTTACCTATCCTTATGGGGACATAATGTCCCCATAACGTGATAAATATCCGGAATATATCCAGAAACCAGTACCCATAAGGGAAAACTCTATTTTATAAAAATCGGTGACTGCTATGAAAAAACTAAAAATGCAAAAACTCTTGTATTTTGTTAGGTTACTTATGGTTATGGTTAGGGCAGGGTAGGGGTTAAGGTTGTCATAGTTAGCGTTAGCATTTTTCCCATTGAAATGAATGAGCGGTCCCCATAAGGATATGTTTACCCTACATGTGCGTATGTGTGTGTGTATATATGTGTGTGTGTGTGTGTGTGTATGCCAGCCCTCACAGCCAGTGTGGTTTAACGTTGAGACAGGCAGGCGCTCGATGGGTTAAACACCCGATGCTGTGGCAGCGGTGGCGGCCGGCTCTCGGTGCCTGCAATGTAAACGGATCCCTCCACTTTGCTCCAACATGAAGGTGAAAGTCTATTTTTTGTTTGTTCTGTTTTTTTCTCCTTTCAGGAGAGTACAGTACGATGCACAGTCCATCAACTCCCATTAAAGATTCAGATTCAGATCGATTGCGTCGCTCCTCGGACGGAAAGTCACGCGGCCGGGGCAGGAGGAACAACAACCCATCCCCCCCACCGGACTCCGACCTTGAGGTGGGCCTTAGGACAACCCCCACCCCCCGTCATTCTGTATTCTTCCGGTCGGGCACCTCGCATCTTCCTCTGAGGGAGATGTCAGCCTCGTACCCAGGTTCTTTGCTTACATCTACTCCTCTCTGCTCAGCGGCACCCCCTACAGGCCGTGTAAAGCCCCAGTTTAAAGCCCACCAGAAGCACTGTTAGCTGCCCCTGAGTGGGCGTTTGCCGCTGGTGTAGGACCTGAGTCGCATTGAATCGCGTTTAATCTTAAGACAAGTGGATCGAGCTGGAGCTTGGTGGTGGGACACAGACAGGCTGCTGACTGATCTGAGAGCAGACTGCCCTCATCACCATCATGCTGAGGACTGAAGCCCACATTGAACCTCTGCAGCTTCCCCTTGCTTCAATATAACTCCAGTGAGACTAGAACAGACTTTGCCAGTATGAGCCATAGCAGTACTGATATCATGGCACGTTAACAAATCTGGTTAATTGGCCTGTCCTTATCGATCTCTCTAATGCACGGGGGGGAAGCAGCAGCGTGTCGTGGCTGGGGGGTGGGGGGTCCACAGGTCACCAGCCGCAGCAAATGGAGCCATGTGTCCGTGGTGCATAAACGGCGAACTGTGCTCCTATTGAGCGGGAGATCGGCTTGCAGTGCGCAGAGTGGCCCATTGATCCCTCACCCCGCCTCTCTCTTGCAGCGAGTTTTCATCTGGGACCTGGATGAGACCATCATCGTCTTCCACTCCCTGCTCACAGGGTCCTACGCCAACAGATACGGACGGGTGAGTGACTCTCGCTGCCTCCATTACCGCCCGCGTGAATATCTGGGGTCGAGGTGTGGGGGCAGGGCATGCGCGCCTCAGATAATTGTTTCTTTTTTAATAGACCCAAAGTGGGCAGCCGGGCATCCAGACCCCCCCGCAGCTGTCCGAAATATGCGCCCCCTGGCTGGGTAGGCGCAGCAGTTGTACCCCACACATCCGTTGCTGCGTCTTAAGGGCTTATTCCGCTACGCAGAAACGGCACATTGTCGCTCTAATTAAACGTCCTGGCATGTCCGAATCTGAACCCCCTCCCCCCAAAAAGAGTCTAGGAAAGTCAACCTTTCAATACCCTCGAATAAATTCTTTAAAATGTGTTCTGGCGTGTGGAGTACGATATTCACGCTGCGTTTGACATGTGTGTTAAATGCGTGTCTGTAGGGTGACACGGCCAGTCCTGTAGCTGCCTCGCACGCCAGCTCACTTTTAAAGAATGTTACTTATTCCTCAAAACCTCACCATCTAAATAAGAACTCCCAAAACAAACAATGGGAATTATAGCAATCTGCAATTTTCTTATGGTTTGCTGAGCCCTCGTGGGCTTTAAATAACCTTTAAATTTCATGCATGCAGCTCGGCAGCTGGGGAAGCCCACAGATTCCCCTCACAATACACGCATTCTTTATGAGTACTTAAAATGTCTTCTTCAAGAGTACCTAAAATGTGTTCTTCATGAGTATCTAAAATGTATTCTTTATGAGTACTTAAAATGTCTTCTTCAAGAGTACCTAAAATGTTTTCTTTATGAGTATATAAAATGTATTCTTTATGAGTAGTTAAAATGTGTTCTTAATGAGTACTTAAAATGTATTCTTTATGAGTACTTAAGTCCACATGCTGCCATGTGCTGAGGAAGTGTCCCCCCCCCCCCCTTAGAAGTGCAGGAGTGTGTTGATACTCCATCCCCCATCTGGGTGGATTTTAGTGCCATGGCTAGGGTCTCCCTTTGTTCTCCGGAGGGGGGAGTTTGTTTTAGTGGTGAAGGAGGCCCCCTCCCCCGACCCTTGGGTGTTTATTTACTTTGTGTTAGTCATGCATGCTGGCTCAAGAGAGTCCCCCCCCCCCCACCCATTATCCCCATTCCCCCCCAGGGCCTGGGACACCATCCTGACTCTCCGCTTCAGAATGGTGCCCCAAGAGCTTTGGGGATGGTGATGCCGTCTCCCGCTTCAGTAGCTGTTACCGAGCCCTCAGCGCGGCCCGCTTTGTGCCGTCCGCCCTAATCCGACGTCGGCATGTTAGGGTGCTTCCTGCCGGTGGCGCGGCTCCGCAATGAGGCCTATAAATAGCGCTGTATCCGAGCACACTGCCGGCCGTGGTTATCAGCTAGCAGTCTGTGCCCATAAAGCTGATGGCTCAGGCCAGCTGTGTGACCATTGGGCCAGGAGAGATGGGGGCGGGGCGGCCGGAGGGAGGTGGGGGGCTTGGCGCGCCAGAGATGGTACTGATGTGTGGAGACAGGTGCTGAGGCCCCATTCGGCCTGCTCTGGCCCCTAAGCCCCATCCTGAGTGATCGCTGAGTTTTTTCCCAACACTCTACACTTGGCTCAGGACGGGGCAGCTTTAAGTCAGTCGCTCGTAACCGCGAAGCCGCCTGCACAGCGCCGTGCTGGCGTGTCACCGGTCCACTCTGGCCATCTGGGCCTTGCCGTCCCTAAACTCCTAAAACAGTGCAACTCTCTGCCTCAGTCCTCCTCTCGGCCCTGCTTTGCATCGACACAGCCCCAATAAGTAAGCTATCCCAGGCTGGGGTGGACTGGTGCCTGTTTTGGTTACAAAATGTCTTTATCAGTTCAGGCATTGTCAGTAGTCACCTCTCCAGGGGTCCTGCTGTTAAAATCAGTGCCTGGAAACCTGCCCACTGCATCGCGCGTCGTCATACACCGCATACACATTATAAGCATAGGCACGCAAAGATATGCTGACAGGCTAGGCGGTAAGAGGGGGCGCGTTACGCCCCACGAGGCGTGCATAAGAAAGCGAAAGTGCGGCCATCCTGCCGGAGACGCCGTCACTCTCTGGCTATGGCCTTGAGATGCCCGTCGGGGTCGGGGGGGGCGGGGGGGGGTGACGGTCAGGGACTCATTAACTATTGATGCTGTGGTCCGCTTTTCTTTGGATTATCTTTCAGACTTCCAAACAATATCAGCTTTAGGGATAGGATAGCATTTCCCTAAAATCCATGAACCCTCTTCTGCGAAGAGCATCCATGCCTCTGTGCTGAGACATTAATGGTGACGGGGTACAGAGTCAGCACCGCGACCCCGGGGTCTTCACATGGCGTCCATGGAGACATCTCGCAAAATGCCGACATTCCGGTATTATCATCCAACTCTAGGGTGACCACCTTACCAGTGTCAGGGAGGACACTATGAGCTACGACAGGGTTTGTAAGCTACCATTTCAGTGAAAAGGAGCTGGACTTCACTTTTGCTTGTCTGGATTTCAGATGAATATTTCAATCGAGGAAACAAACTAGTAAAAGAAGAATTTAAGTATTTAGCCAAGCATAGGAGCCTTTCAGTTTTAAAGTAGTTTGTAAGCCTTCGGTGGTCACCATATTCAACTGGCACGAAACGAGAAACACTAAAGCCCCTCCAGTTGGAGCAGAAACATATATTTGAACCCCCCCCCCCCAGTCCTTACTGACACACTTGTGACCTCTTTGAGTATTAATAAAGTATTAATGAGTATTGAAATAGAGTGTCAGTAAGAACAGGTCTACTATTGTAAAGCTCTGCCTGCAGCACCCCCCCCCCCACACACACACTAGACTGTATCAGCAGTGTGCTTGTTGTGGGGGGGCTGTAGAACACTTCATGAAATATTAATATAATTAGTTTAATTGACCTGTTATCGCATGTAACTGAAGCAGTAGGGGACATAGTGAGCAACGTTCTCCGGAGAGTTCTGTGACCTTCCCGCCGCAGAAAAATCGTAAAGTGATTAAAGGCACGTTTGTTCGCTGGTCTGGGCCTGGAATTTCGGGCTATGCCGTTACTCCCTATGTGACAAATCGTTTGGGCCCTCAGGTGGACTGTAAATGTCACAGTCAAACCGAGCTGATTTATTTGCTCAGATTATGAGGGAGTTTCAGCGACGTGACTCGATGTTTATGTGCTAAAACAAACATTTATAATGGAATACGTGGGGAAAACCAAGCGACCGCTCTGTTTGAAATACACTCTCATCCAAAGGCACTGGCCAAACAGAACTAAATCTTTTAGGCTTTGATTCTGTTTTGTGGTTCATTACCCGTGAAAATATCTTTTAACTTTAAACTGGAAGTTAACCTGGCCTTCAGTTAGCTATTGTCCTTTTTTGGCAAGACTTGTAATTAAGAAAGACATAAATTCTTTTGGCTCCATGACCCAAAAAAATGAGAAAACAGTTGAAAGAGTAGCGTGTGAATGGACTGCAATTTGTACAGTGTATCAGCACCACGAGTGGGCGGTTTTACGCTAAATTAAGCATTTGCCTCTTTGAGAGCCTTGTGGTTATATACATGTCTAGCTCTTTTAGAGCTCGTCTGCACTAATACGTTTTCATTTAGTAACGTAAATTTTTTCTTCCAATTTATTCTTCCGTCCGCACTACCGCACATTTTTTTTTCCCACAAATGGAGAAAAATTTCACTGCTCTCCGACAACAAATCTTTCTGCAGATACTGCTAAACGTAAAAATTTTGTCACGCCTACACCAGTGAGCTCTGATTGTTTCATACTTAGCTCGCGACCCTTTCCTGATTAGCTTTCTTCGTTTCAACGTCTCTTTTCCTGATTGGTTCACGGAAGTAAGCCTGTGAATATGTGAACATGGAGGATGTACAGGACTTTCGCTGCCTGGCATATGTTGTTTTGTTTACTTTTGTGCAGCTAAATTGTGTGCTATTTATGTACATTGTTTTGTACTATTTTAACTATTGTGGAGCTCCAAACAAGACTGTATCTGAGCCAAGTTAAAGTGTAACTTTATTACCAATCAAAATCAAAATAAATTATTCAAAATATACTTTGCCACTTCTACAATTATAAAAAAAATTTGGTTGGACAAAAAAAACGTGCAAATGACACATTGTGCTCGAGCTACAACAAACAAATAAAATATAAAGTGAGCCACTTCTAAAAATATATTATAAAAAGCTTTGGTTAAATGAAAAATGTCAGAAATACATACATTAACACCCACTCTTAATTGCATTTGCCTTTTAGATGGAGCAGTGTGAACCCAGAATTTTTTCTCAGCGCTAGTGATAACGGTAGTGCTTTTCTTTCAGAAATTTTTAACGTATTAGTGCAACGTAGCCTTAAGACTGGCTTCTTGGGGTGGGGGCTGCAGGCCTTGGATCCACCATACATACCCACCTCACATACCTGTCTGGATTACCAGCCTCGCTTTGGATACCCATCACAGTTATCCATTTCATTTGCCCGCCCTATGTACCCGCCATGATTACCCGCTCCGTGTACCCGTCCCACGGTCCCTCTATGCTTACTCTCCATAAATACCAATGGTACTTACCGGTCCCGCATACCCACCTCGCGTATCTCATCCATGTGCCCACCTTGCTTACCCACCCCACATACATGCCCCGCTTACCCACCCCACATACCTGCCCCGCTTACCCACCCCACATACCTGCCCCGCTTACCCACCCCACTTACCNTACCCATCTCACTTACCTGCCCCTATTACCCACCTCACTTACCTGCCCCGATTACCCATCTCACTTACCTGCCCCTATTACCCACCTCACTTACCCGCACTGCTTACCCAACTCACTTACCTGCCCCTATTACCCACCTCACTTACCCGCCCTGCTTACCCAACTCACTTACCTGCCCCGCTTACCCGCCCTGCTTACCCAACTCACTTACCTGCCCCGCTTACCCGCCCTGCTTACCCAACTCACTTACCTGCCCCGCTTACCCGCTCTGCTTACCCGCCTCACTTACCTGCCTCACTTACCCACCCTGCTTACCCGATCCGCTTACCAGCCCCGCTTACCTGCCTCACTTACCCACCCCGCTTACCCAACTCACTTACCTGCCCCGATTACCTCCCTCACTTACCTGCCTCACTTACCTGCCCTGATTACCCACCTCACTTACCTGCCCCGATTACCTGCCTCACTTACCTGCCCCGCTTACCTGCCTCACTTACCCGCCCCGCTTACCCACCTCACTTACCTGCCTCACTTACCTGCCCCGATTACCTGCCCCGCTTACCTGCCTCACTTACCTGCCTCACTTACCTGCCCCGCTTACCCGCCTCACTTACCCACCCTGCTTACCCACCTCACTTACCTGCCTCACTTACCTGCCCTGATTACCCGCCTCACTTACCCGCCCCGCTTACCCACCTCACTTACCTGCCCCGCTTAACCGCCCCGCTTACCCACCTCACTTACCTGCCTCACTTACCCGCCCCGATTACCCAATCCGCTTACCCACCTTGCTGACCTGTTTTGCTTACCTCCCTTGCTTACCCACCCTGCGTATCCGATCCACTTACCCTCCCTGTGTTGCTTTCCCGTTCCTCTGGTTCTGATGGTCCATTCTCTCACTTTCCCTGTCTTCCAGGACCCGCCCACAGCTGTGTCATTAGGACTAAGAATGGAGGAGATGATTTTCAACTTGGCCGACACACATTTGTTCTTTAACGACCTGGAGGTGAGTAACCTGTCCTGTCACGGCCGTGCGCTCACCGCATGCCCCCCTCCCTCATGTCATGCTTAAACATGCCTGCAGCACTGTGCCCCACGTGTGTTCCTGTCTGATGCCAGTTCGCATGTTCGGTGAGAGATATTAGCACGAATGTGATGGCGGGGAGCCTGTCTCCCGCCCACAGTATGCTGAAATATCGTCTCCCTTCTCAGGCGACACCATGAATTTTGATTGTAGTGTCTGTCTCTCAGGCCAGAGAGCATCCTACCTCTCTGCACTGAATCCCTAATGCCCCCCCCTCAGCCCCCACCCCCCTGGGCACTGCAGCGAGCGGCCTTCTATTTCCCCAGATCCCACCCCTGGTCCGAACCATGAGTACATGGATGACCCAACCCTGAGGAAGTGTCCTGTCTGGTTCTGACGTGTGAACAGGGCTGGCAAGTCTGTCAGGGGTGATTAACCTCGGCCCTGTTTAGCAGCACCTTGGGCGGGCCGGCTCCCATAGCGGCCTGGCTGATCAAAGTTAATTGGCTGCAATTGAGTGATAAATATTCCCGCATGTTCCTCCCCCCCGGTGTGTGAGATGGACTGAGCTGCACCTTCTTTAATCGACGTGCCCCTGTCATTTTTTTAAATGGCAGCTTTCGACGGAGCTTAAATGTGGTTTCGCTCAACATCTGTCCCGTGTTTTGATTTCTTTTCATCTGTGATGAAACCATTCGCAGATGAGCTGGCAGTTCAGCGCGCAGCTCGAATTATTAAAATGTGCCATGCATATTTCTACATCTGCTCTGTCTCAATAACGGAATTATTACGTTTCATTCCGACACTTAAAAGCCAGGAATGTTCCAGTAAAACTGGAATGGCACGGACACTAGACCAACTATCTGCAGTTATTCTACTCATACATTTTCCAGTTACACCCCAAAGAGGGCATGTCCTCTCTACTTGCAAGTGTCTTTGATGCAGTAAAATGCAATAAAATGGGGGCTTTTTTGGCCTTTTCAGCCTCCGTACCATAAACACCAGAAGAGCCGTCCATCCTGGCCTATTTCCTCTATGTAGAATTAAAGAAGTAAATACAACAGAAACATAGAGCAAAACCCCAGAAACTTTACAGCTAAGCTCACATATATTACAGGAGCCTGGGACACACACAGGGGACAGATTCTGAAACGGAATAATTCCCCGTGTCTCTCGCCCATGCCTCGTGTCCTGTGATAGGTTGGCATCCTGTCCATGGTGTCCCCTGCCTCGTGCCCTGTGATAGGCTGGCATCCTGTCCATGGTGTCCCCTGCCTCGAGCCCTTTGATGTGCTGGTTAGTTGCAGAGCTGTAGGGGTTTT